TCAGGTTCGTCCTAACCACATTTTATCAGTCAGGGCGAACCTGACCACCCCAGCCGACTCTGACGCGAGTACGGTATGGTTAGGTTATGGTAACCTAACCTAACCTAACCTAACCTAACCTAACATATACAAAATTCACAAAAACAAAGCTTCCTCTATGAGGAAGCAATTATAAAGAAATACTATTAAAATGTTTTTAATTATAAATATAAAAATATTTAATACACTTTTATTTCGCGCACTTTACGTCACCAAAGTATGCGCGTATGGCCATATTAATTGTTAAGCCCCTTGCACAATGCTAGGCAATAGACCGAAAAAAAAATTTACTTGATTTAAGTAAATATATGATTTAAGTAATATATTATGTAAATATATTTAAATATATTATCTTGAAATTTATTTACTCAAATTAAATAATTATTTATTAAAATCCAACAAATTTTTTTACTTCTAAGAAAATATTATGAACACCAATTTAGTAATACTGGGATACTAAAAACAAACAAATATTTACTTTCAATAACGAAATATATATTTTGTTTTAATAAATATTTCTTTGACTCAAGCAATTCATCTATGAAAATATCTGTACATAATTAAATATTTTAGGCATATATATTTACTTGATAAAAGTAAATATTATTTTGAATAAATAAAATAATAACTTTGGTTTTTGAAAAATTCAACTACAAAATCATTTACTTGATCTGAGAGAATGTTAACTTGAATCAAAGCGTTGGTGTTTGAAAACAAAGAGTATATTTCTTTATAATTGGTAAATAATTATGTACTTGAGTATGTACTATGTACTTGAGTACAAAGATACCATTACTTTGAAATTAGAAAATATTCACTTTTATCCAGAAAATAAATTACTTAGTATCGAAAAATATGTTTAACAAATATTTACTTAAATGACAGAAATCATTAGCTTGGTATCAGAAAATATTTACTTCAAACCAGAAAATACATTACTTAATATCGATAAATATGTTTAACAAATATTTACTTAAATGACAGAAATCGTTAGCTTGGTATCAGAAAATATTTACTTCAAACCAAAAAATACATTACTTTAATATCGATAAATATGTTTAACAAATATTTACTTTTTCTAAGAAAATATTTGCTCAAATCAAAGATATATTTCTTTGTGATCAGTAAACAAATATTTAATGACCACAGAAACCATTCGTTCGAAATTAAAAAATATTTATTTAATCTAAGATCATTTTTGCTTAAATCAAAGTGTTAGCATTTTAAAATTATCAATATACTGTCGCCGGAAGCAAGAATGTCCGTAACTACAATTTAATTTTTATGATAATATTTATGTAAAGTTCAGAAGTTTATCATTTACCAAAATCAAGTTCGTTTTCAATTTAAGTCTTAAACGTATAGACGTATATGATCAAAATATATAGATTTTATAAAAAATTTTTTGAAAATTTATGGAAAATATAAATATAATTTGGTTAATATTTATTTGATTTAAGAAATGTAGATCTGGAGACAAAATCTGATTGTCTTGAATTAACGAAATATTTACTATAAGTAAGTAACAATTCATTGCATTTCAATTCATGATTTTTCATTTTCTAGAAAATATTTATTTGTTCCAAAGAAAAATTGTATCTTGATTCAAATAAATAATTTTTTAGTACTATTGAACGAAATCATTTACTTGAATCAAGTCAAATTTCGTTAATTGTAATAAATTTTTTTTTCAGTGCAATAGGAATAGGAAATAACCAAAAAATCGTTAATTACAACCTAAAAAATTCAAATGCTATGATTGGTTGGCAACAATCTAGTCAATGTTTCTGTACCATGAGTCGCAATGAAGCTTTAAAAACCAAATAGTCTGTCAATGCTGTCTGTCTCAGGAAACTCCGGATTCCAAAAGCCTTAAAAAATTTATTATTTATATTATGTAACATAAAAAGTGGTAATAAAATCAAATATTATACCGTCTGGTGTATTTGGTCGCTCATATTTGTATCGATGTCGCGAGCATTGATTTTTTTCGTTTTTGTTCTTCTTCTTTCGATAATGACAAACTTTTATAATACTAGAAATGAAATATTATAATTACTTTTTTATGAGAAAAATATATTTACTTATTTATATTTATATTTATTTTATTTATATTTATATTTATTTTATT